GATGCACATGGACACAAACACATGCACTTATCATATGCTATATTAATATACATAGCACCATGTAATTAACAATTGAAATACTATGTATTTATTTAGGAAACAAGCACAGGAAGCATAAGCAGCTTTGATGGTTGTGCCAGTCCCTGTCCTAGCACACCCCTCGAACAGAATTATCATAGACAGCATTCCAACTCAAACAATTCTGAGGCAACTGAAATACATTGGAAACTGATTCCCATCACAGGTGAGTAATAGGATAAGTATAAAGTTCAAATCTTTGTATCTTTTAGATATCCAGTTATAAGTATCATAGATGATATGGAATATTTTAAATAGTGTATTATCTCCAGGCTATTCAGCTAGTTCATAACAGTTTACAACAGGCACTTCTGTTAATGGAGACTTTATTTTGAGTCCTTTGTTTATTTATATTGTTGGTTCTTGGGGACATTTTTTTCAATATACTATTTTGAATTTAGCTAAAGTGCTCTGCAGTATTCAGTTGAGATGGAACAATGGAATTCTATGATTGTAGAAGACACTCAGGTTATGAATCTGTCCTTTCATTGTATTATTGCAGGAATAGCTAGCTTTAATGTTGGATGTAACATTGTCTAGAATCTAGATAGTTTGGAGGTCAATAATTTATTTTGGTATTTTCTTGCTATAGATGGTCAGCTGAACATAACATGGCATTACAAGTAACAAGTGCTATCATGAATACATATGCAACTAGGGACATACAGAACTTAAAAAAGATTTAAAAAGTTACATAGTTTCTAGGGTAGTGGTTCTATTCTGTAGTAAAAGAAGAAACTGGATTATGTGACAAGTTCAAGACTAGCATGTTTAATTATTTTCCTTTAGAATGAAATTGAACAAATATTTCTTCTACTGGTGGGGGGTAATTTTTGATAGAATTTTTGAATATAATGGCTTAATTGACTGGATTTGGTCTGCAGATTACTAAATAGTTTTTGTGATCTAAATCACTACATCTTACACCTATTGTACTTATTTAAGATAATGGGGGAACTCGGCAGAACATTTATAGATAAGTTCTGTTCCAATAATGTCATAAACACTATTGAATTCAGGACTGCCAAAAAAAATCTTTTGGCTCTAAAAAAATCTTTTAAAAAATGAAATTTCTCTCATTAACAGTTCATTTTAACCTGTTTTTTAAAAAAAATTCTGGAGCTGTGTAAAATCATGGCTATGCTAGTTTATGCAAAGAAAGGTTATATAAATTCTTCTGAGGCTAATTTCTCAAGGGTTCTTTTTAAAATGCAATTTGTTCAACAGGATGCCTTTTTAAAAATTGCTGTATCACATTAATTCATTTGAAGCCCAGTTTTCTTCTAAAATACTGTCTTGCTACTAAGAGATAAAACTTAGTAGCACTGTATTATGCTATTTCTGGATCTACTTGCTTTTAGTGGTGATTTCCATATTTATTTTTATGGACTAAATGCAAACTATTATCTCTATGTCTTTTTCAATGAACAATGTGTAATTATTGAAGTAATATGGGTGTGGAAGCAGCAGTAGCATGGTTGGGTAGCTCAAGCCTCTAGTACACCAGAAATGATTAACACAGGAATTTCCAGTCTGCTGGTTCTTGCAGTGTTTATAGATATAATCAGTTCTGGAATTCAAATCTTGAATGAAAAGACAATTCCATGAGATCCAAAGATACTTGAAATTAATAATTCATACTTTTATATTCTCTGACATGGGCTAATTATTTTAATTGGTTTATAGAACAAAAAGTGTGAAAGGATGTACTTTATATATATTGAGAAACTCTAAACTTGCTAACTGCTGCTCTCCCTCAGGAGGGGTAGGAAGAGTTCCTGAGGATCAACTGAGAAAGCATGGAGATAACCAAACAGGTGAGAAGGATGGTCTTTACTGCCTATGCCCATTGCTATCCAGGTAGCTGAAAAGGAAGCCTGTTCTCAGCATTAAATTTTCAGAAGACTGTAAAACCAAACAGTTTTACACATAATTGCGGAAATTAATCCACTGAAGCAAGTATATTCGGAGTTTGAAACTTGAGAAATGCAGCCCACTTAAAGTACCCATGCTCCTTCTTGTACTTGCGGCATGTCTCTTTATTATACGTGGTGCAATGGTCCCGTCTAAAACAGTATTTGTAATTACATAGTTTTTGGAGGTTATTTTGGGATTGCAAAGGGGTTTAGTATATATAGATAGAGAAATGTTAATGTATTTTAAACGGTATTCGTTTTTTTTATTTTTCCAGAAAAAAAACTGGGGGAGGCTTTCACATTGTTCTCACCTATTTAGTGTAGAGTTGCTTCTGAATTTGCATGTGGATAGATTTCCAGAAATTTGCTTGAGGAAGTACTCTTGCAAACCCAGGTGGCAGACTGGCCTGTTTCTTATTGAGGTAAAGGAGTCCCTGCAGGTTTTACTGTTAGTCGTTGCTGACTATAGGGTGTGTGTGTGCTCATCTTTGTTTCAAGGCCATTGAGCCAGCACTCTCCAAAGACATTTCCATGGTCTTGTGTCCAGCATGATGTCATGGAGTGCTGTTGCCTTCTCACCAAAGTGGTACCTATTTATCTGCTTGCATTTGCCTGCTTTTGAACTGCTGGGTTAGAAGGAGCTGGGGCAAGGACAGGAGCTCTCCCTGTTGCATGGTGCTCGGTCTTTCCAGCCGGCAAGCCTGTGTCTTAATCACTGAGCCACTATGCTGCCCTCCTCTTATCGCATTGGTAAATAAATATTTGGCAGTTTGGTTACTGTCCCTTGGGAAACACTTCTATTTGGAAAAAAAAAACCTATGTTCTTAGTCATAATATGGGAAGAAATAAAATGTTTCTTACCTGTTTGCATTTGGGGGAAGAAGCAATTTTTACATAGTTGAAGTAATAGTACTGATATTCATATATTTGTGACATTTGGAAATAAGATATTTTTTTATTTAGATGTGTATCTGAATATTTTACATTTGTATTCATCCGCAACACTAGAATTTGGTTCTTAATATGCTATCATAATTGAGCTTATACTAATAAACTAGCATATAATTTAAGGGATCCCTTAATTTTATTAAAATTTTGAATATTTAATGTGTTAGGTTTTGAAAATTCACTGAAGTCACTTTGCTTTCTATATACTAGATCAGCGGCTCCTAACCTTTTCTATACCCCACATCCCTAGAATGCTTCTGATATATTCTCACACCCCTTACAAAAGTTCAAAATAATGGCAACAAATTATGCATATACACTATAATTTTGAAAACTCACGTTTTTGCACCCCCTGGAATATCGTCTCACACCCCTGGTTGGGAACCCCTGTACTAAGTCATGTTAACTATAAAGTATAAATATGTAGAAAATAGTTTCAGAACAGAATAACAGTTGGAAGGGACCTTGAAGCTCTTCTAGTCCAATCTCTTCTTAAAAACTTCCAGTATCATAGCATTCACAACTTCTGGAGGCAAGTTGTTCCACTGATTAATTGTTCTAACTGTCAGCAAATTTCTCCTTAGTTCTAGGTTGATTATCTCTTTGATTGGTTTTTATCCATTGCTTCTTGTCTTACCTTCAGGTGCTTTGGAGAATAGGTTGACTCTCTCTCTTTAGGGTATCTGATATTTAAATTATGCTGCCAATGCTCCTGGAGATAGCAAGCATCCTTCAAGATTAATGGCCAATTGATAGTCTGATTCTACATTAATATGCTTAGTTCCTCTTTACGTTGGTGGCCATCACCAAATCTGACAGTGAATTGCAGTTTAATTATGCTTTGAATAAAGAAATACTTCCTTTTATCTGTTCTGAAACTCTCGGCTTTTAGAAATAATAACTAAAGGTATTCCTTGATTTACAACTGTAATTAAACCCAGAATTATGGTTGGAAGGGGTCACTGTGCCTGATTTTTATGACCTTTTTTGTGGCAATTGTTAAGTGAACGCCCTGGTCATTAAACAATTACATTATACCCAATGGGCACTTTTTGCTGAAAACCAGAAGTAAACTCTGAAAACTAGCAAAAATCATGGTCATGTGACCGCAGGTTGCTGCAAACAGCTGTAAATGTGAGCTGGTTGATAAATGTTCAAAATGTGATCATGTGACCATTGGGGTGTGTGTATAAGTAGCTCTAAGAAATGGTGGCTAAGCCACAGATGTTAAGTGAGAACTACTTGCACAAGTTACAAGTTTATGAAGAAGGGAGAGAATATTATTTTGATCCTCATATGGACATCTAGCCATTTCTTCCTTTCTGCTTACTTCTGCTTTAAGAAATGCTACAGTCTTGTATAAGAGTTATCATCGTCAGATCTACCTGATCTTGTTATTGCATTTCTTTGCATCTTTTTGAGCTCTACAACAGCAGTCTCTAATCTTTCTGGCAGCAACGGTAGGGGGGAAGGGTTGGTTTCATGTGTGCACCCTAGACTCCGCACATGCGCAAATGAAGCTTCATGTACTTGCCCAACACTTCCGTGGCCCGGTTCCCAACAGGTCACAGACCAGTATTGGTCCGCAGCCCCGGGGTTGGGGGCCCCTTCTCTACAATATCTTTGTTCAGATACAGTATTCTGTTTGGAATTGTACATAATACTCTTAAGTGTATTGTAGATGCTCATTAATAGTATTACTGTATTAAACATTTATGTTCAGTTTGTAATGATTCCACACTTCGAGTTGTTTTATTGATAGTACCTGCATTCTAGGATGACATTTTCTTTAACTTATTTGCCATTAATCCAACTTACCTTAACTGATCAGTTACTGGCAGCCCAGATTCATTATGCCATTATTTGTATATATGTGAAGTTTGCAATGTTTCTGTGTAGTGTATGGATGTTTTTGTCTATTTATACATCACTTTGCACCAAGTTGTTTAACTACTTTTATCATGTTGAGACCCATTTGCTGAGTAGTACCTGTACTGGCTGCTGGAAATACATTATATAGAAGTTTGTCACTGAAAATTTTATAAGAACTTTTTGTTTTGAAATGATTCTTCTCATGATCTGTTAAGTTAATAATCATAAAGTTGAAGCAAAACTTTTTGAAATCCCACCCCCACCATTTACATGTGCAAAAATTAACTTGATGAAAGCATCTGGAAGCATCTTAATGAAAGATTCCATTTGAATGCTTATATAGCATGTATGTTTGTACTGTGTCATATCAGATTTAATGAAGTTTAATAGTCTTTATTTTTAATGATGATGATGATGGAAGGGACCTTGGAGGTCATCTAGTTCAACCCCCTGCTCAGGCAGGAAACCCTATACCATTTCAGATAAATGGCTGTCCAGTCTCTTCTTAAAAACTTCCAGTGTTGGAGCATTCACAGCTTCTGGAGGCAGGTTGTTCCACTGGTTAATTGTTCTAACTGTCAGGAAGTTTCTCCTTAGTTCTAGGTTGCTTCTCTCTTTGGTTAGTTTCCATTTGTTGCTTCTTGTCCTCCCTTCAGGTGCTTTGGAGAATAGCTTGACTCCTTCTCTTCATTAGACTAGACATTCCCAATTCCAGCAACTGTTCCTTATATGTTTTAGCCTCCAGTCCCCTGATCATCTTTGTTGCTCTTCTCTGTACTCTTTCTAGAGTCTCAATATCTTTTTTACATTTTGGTGATGAAAACTGGATGCAGTATTCCAAGTGTGGCCTTACCAAGGCATTGTAAAGTGGTATTAACACTTCACATGATCTTGATTCTATCCCTCTGTTAATGCAGCCTAGCACTGTGTTGACTTTTTTGGCAGCTGCAGCACACTGCTGGCTCATATTTAAGTGATTGTCCACTAGGACTCCAAGATCCCTCTCACAATTGCTACTATTGAGCAAGGTACCACCTATCTATACCTGTGCATTGGTTTTTTCTTACCTTACTTTTTTCACCATTGAATTTCATTTTGTTAGATAGTTCCCAATGTTCAAGTCTGTCAAGAACCTTCTGTATCTTAAGTCTATCTTCTGAAGTGTTGGCTATTCCTACCAGCTTAGTGTCGTCTGCAAATTTAATGAGTTTCCCATCTATCCCCTCGTCCAAATCATTGGTGAAGATGTTGAAGAGCATTGGGCCCAGAACAGAGCCCTGGGGCACCCCACTACACACTTCCCTCCATGTAGATGCAGTTCCATTGAGGACCACACGCTGAGTACCGCTACGAATCCATCTGGTGGTGATGCTGTCTAACCTATATTTTTCTATCTTATCAAGTAGTAGGTTGTGATTTACTGCTTTTTGCTATTAAGTGCTGCTATTGGGATAGGCCTTATGCAATATCCTGAAAGGTTTAGTTCAGCATTTGAGAGTTGATCATCATTTTTCCCCAAAGTACTCTTTTGGGGAGAAGCTTGTTGAGTTTGTTGAGTTACTTTTGGACAACTTCTGAAGGTCTTATAGTATGTTCCATGGGACATAATAACTAGAACTATTTCCTCTTTCCGTTTTTGCAAATCAACAACCGTACTTCATCCAGAAAGCAACATAAGCTGCTCTTTCCTTTCAAATTAAATTTGTAAACTTGCCTTCTTTTTTCCTTTCTCTGTAAAATAGCCAAAGTAATCATCTCCTTCTCATTCATGGTGCTGAGAAAATGCAGATAACCTGGTTGCTTCAATTCTTTACTCTGTATTTGTATAAAATTGGCAAAGTAATCCAAATGGTATGATTAATGTTTTATGCATTGAGGGCTTTGCATTTTTATGTATTTTTCCTGTTTGGGTTTTTAAAAGTAATTTGTGCTGACTTAGCTGATAAATATGAAAAACATCAAATGATGATAATAATTCTGCATTATGCCATAGAACTAGCATTCCCTATCTGGTATAAATGCCTTGCTAATAAAGTCATAGGTGTAAGATTGGCTACTAGAACATTGGCTATTAGAAGGAATTGCATTGGGTTAATAAGTTTGTTTCACTGTTGAAACTAAGTACTATGGCAGCAGGAACTATGAAATTGTGGTGACACTGAAATGTTGATAAGCAGTTATATTGGACATGAGATGTATCTTAAATTAATTAGGATACATCTGTTAGGTTTAATTTATTGTTACTAATATATAGGTTTATAAGACAATATAATACTGAAAATGTAGCTGATATCTAACTTGAAAAAATGTACTGTGAATATATATGTATGTATGCCTATTGTGCTATTTGTTTTGTGTAAGGAGGTAAGAAAGCTTAGAAAAAGTCTGAATTAGCTAATGAAATTAAAGGCACGCTATAATAAACAGAAAGGGAAAGTCGTTAAAACACTTTTCTATGTCTTTCCTTGTAAAATATTCTTGCTTCCACCCCATCCATACATTTTATTTGTTTATTTAATTTAGAGCAGAGATGTGTATGTATGTACGTATATATGTATGCTGTGCATAGAATATATATGTAGTCTAAAAGGGAAGACCATATGCAACAACAAAAGAAAAACCTACAAAAGCTCAATAACCAAGCTATCCTAAGACCATGGAGAACAGCCAGATTTTCATGGACTTTCAAAATGTCAGGGTGGGAGTTACACAGATCTCTGAGTGGGGAAGGGGGGATACAATTCCAGAGGGTAGAAACCATGGCAGAGAAGACACAAGTTTAGTTCCTGATAGTTCCTGCACTGTTTCACCAAGGGGACTCAGAGTACAGCTCCATATATTGTCTTTTTTTTTTAAAGATAGTTTTATGAAGGTTTATTCGGCATTAAATACAATGAAAATAAAGATCAATTTCTATTTTTTTTTTAAAAAAAGGAAGGGGAAATGCAAGATAAGGAAAACTTCTGACACTTTCCAACATACTAATGCATTTACAATCTCATTTTTTTACATTAACATTTAATAATTGTATAGTTATAGGCTGGCTTATAATAATGATCTTCAAACTAAATTTTAATTTTTTTCCTATTTCAAGCATAAAAACCAGAGCAATATCCCAATAGAAACATGACCAAATAAAATCTTTGTTTAAAATAGTTTACCTCATCATCTTAACCAAATCCATTTTGGTTCATCTTCTAATGCATCTTTTTAAACTTCCTTTTAACGTATATATTTTCAAATTCACTTTTAATAATACTTTGCAAACTTTAGAAATTACTCAAATGTTATACATTAAAAAAGAAAGATCATTTCATTTTCTTTCCTTTTTTTGAGCATACTTTCCAAATTTAATTTCAATAATCATTTTAAACCCCCTTTATAAGCACAAAACAGTGTGTTTTAATTATGTCTATCAGACCAATAACCCTAACCCAGCTTATCTAATTAAATTGAAGTCACTCCCTCCAGCTTGTCCCCATGCAGTAAAATCTCTTTCTTCTTCAAAATGTCTGTTAAATATGAACTTAGCTTTTTCTCAAGAGACTCTCCAATATGATTTTTAAAACAAATATGTAAACATTGTCCATTTCCATTTCAGTTTTGAAGTGGAGATACCAAACTTGTTCTCTTGAGGATTGTAGATTTCCTTGCAACTCTTCTTCTAACTGTATTGGAGGACTTACAATTAAATCATCTTAATACTAAACACTGTTGGTGTCAGATTTATATTCTAAAATTACAGTTAAATCCTTTGTATTGTCAAATACTTATGCAATAACCTCAGTAGCTTGTTAATGTTCTGCACTCGGTTGCATCTCTAGATTATTCATCTTTCTCCCTCCATATTACTTGAGTAATTTGGCCCTCTTGCTCTTGTTTCATGACATCTTATGAACATAGTTGATCTATAAAGCAAATTGTTTTATTTAAATACTGTTCCAAAATACATTTTTGCAGTCTATGTTTCAAATACTTTATAAATTCAACTCTGTTATTTCTGTGTCCATGGTTTTCTGAATACTTTTCACAGTCTCTGTTGTTTCTGAGCCCATATTTACTGCTTTGAAAATAAATTCCTTTTATGACTTTAAAGTATTTAGAATCGGTTTCTTCAGAATGTTTTCCACAGTCTTTATGAGTTCATCAAACCTTTTAGAAAAAAATGCATATTGCTAGACAGTCTCTTCCCCCCTTCCCCAAATGTCAGCCTTTCTCTAATCTGATATGTTGTTGCTCAATGTAGTAGATAAGTAAAGCAGGGAAAACACAAAAAGAACAAAGAGGATATTTTCTGACTATTTTGATGTTAAGACTTTTTGCAGGTTACTAAAATGAAGATTCCCTGCAGTGAATAGTCTTATGTATTATTGACTATTCACTGCAGGGAATCTGCATTTTAGTAATAATACATAATTTAAATATAAACACTTTCATCATTCAAAGAAATGTGCCGAGGTAAAGCAGAAGCTGATAAGAACAGACAAATAAACCAAAAAGAGCAGAAAAAAACAGAAGGAACCTAGCAGGGGTTTGAAATAAATCAGCATTCAGTCAGCCAATTAACATTTAAAGATAAAGAACTAAAGCAAAAGTTCAAAAAGTGAAATTAAAAGTCCCAGGTATGCTTATAAAAACATTCTGCCCTTAGGAAGAGATTAGGCTGTTCCACAAGGAGCTGCGGTCTTCAAGATTCCTGGGGGGGGGGAGAGGAGGGAGTCCCTTCAGCAGCCATCTTGGGGAGGAGAGAGCGCTTTCACATAATGCTTTTTAGTAGAGAAAGCATTGACTCTGCTGCCATTCTTGAATGTATCTATGCTGAATGCATATTATTTAGTGGCATCAATAGCACTGATAACTTTTGCAGATTGGCTGGTGAGCCAAAAGCATAAAGAAATCCAGTTTTATTTCAAGCATGTCTGCAATATTTTATGCGAAAAATCTGTAATCCAGAGACTACGTTGCAAGCCAACGTGCTGTTACTTACATTCCAACATCTATGTTTTGAGTAATATATTGACATATGCTTATAATAATGAATGTTTTTTGCAATATTTATCAATTAAATGACACTCAGAATACATTAATGTTGACAATACACTTATTCAGTGCATATTTTCAATATCTTTAGAGGTAATTTACCATTTTTTCTTCTATAGGCTTGAAGTCTCCAGATGAAATGTTTGCTTATTCAGCACCAAAGGATGCTTGTGAACATGATCCCCGCGTTATAAACAGGCCAAGAAGTTCTGATTATGAAGTTGCATACTGTGCCTTTTCAGACATACAGAAAGAAAGAATAGAAGATAAAATACACACAGGTCAAGAGGTGAAATCTGAAGAACAATGTGAATATGAAGCAAATAATTATGTATCAAGTAAGCATTCAGTAAGTGGAATAATAGAAACAGCCATATTAGAAGAGTACAACATTTTTACCAACAAGATTCAGGAAATTTTGCAGCAGAAGAACATTACGTATGTCAGTGGAATATCAAAACCTGTCATTTCAGCCCAGGAAAGGATTATGAGACTTTCTGAATTCATATGTTTACAAGCATCAGATATTGGTGTCCATAAATATGTAGAAAGACTAAGTGAAAAGCTCAACAGTGTTGCTTTGTCATGTTCTCATGGTGTCCAGAATGTGTCCTTTACTGGAAGCACTGGACCAGTTGATAATTCTGTTACCAGTAGTGGATTAAATTTGCCTCTGGAGGAGCCTGTGTCTTCCTCAAATGATTCTGAAGAACACTTTCCAGAGCCATCATGCAGCAGTGTAGAGGGAGATGTAGTCATCAATGAGCAGAATCAGTCAGTGGTTTTGGATACAGAAAAAGAACACAAGCCAGTGATTGCTAACATAGAAGAAAAGTTAACAGCTGAGCCAAAGGAATCTCCTGTTGATTGTTTACCAAAATCAGAGAAGATCTCAAAGCCTGTAGATAAATCAGATATTGGAACACAACCTGCTCTGGCTGGTTTTATTAGCCAGTTAAGACCTGAAGTGTTTGACAGCATTTTCAAAATTATTGAAGATGTACGAAAAAATACACTGAAATTCTACATTCATGAAGAACAAGAAAGTCTGCTTTGCAAAGAAATAAAGGTAAGCTTTGTACATGAGTGTATGTCAGTTATGTGCATCTGTTTCAGAAAATTGCAGTAATTGTACATGGGTAAGCCAGATTTATGTTTTTGCATGAGTGTTTTGTTAATGAAGTGATGCGTACAGCTAATAATAGCTATTTTTCCCATATATGTTAAAAATTGACAGGAAATCTGCAAATTAATAGTTTGCTGGAGTGAGAGGAACAAAAGAAATAAAAAAGCGTGGGCCACATAGATTTTAGAATTTCCATCTTTTCAGTAACGTACAGTATGTATATAGTAGTAGTTGTTTAAAACAAATAGAAAGTTTAAAAAGCTGTCTTTCTGTACAGATGTTTTACATAATGAAAGGGGTATTTTGTTGATGCACTACGTATGTGGCATATTTTAATGTGGCATTTGTTAGAATTTTATCCCACTTTTCTCCAAGAACTTAAGGTTCTCCTTTTTATTCTCATGGCAGCAAGTCTTTGAAATAGGGAGAGCTAAGAGTGAGCAATGGTCAAACACAAAGAGAATTTCTGTGACTAAAGGAATATTTATAAAATTGATCTCCCTAGTCCTTGTCCAACATCTGAACTGCTTCATATCATTAGCTTTCATACTGCAAGGCATGTGGTAGGCTGGAAAATTCAGTTTAAAATAATAATGTGCAGAGAGGATAGTGTATTAAAACAGATTTTTCAAAAAGTGGGTAAGCAAGATCAGTGAAAAAATATTGTAGCTAACTTGGTTTAGTTTCATTTTTGAATTGTTCCTTTTAGGTTTAATATTAATTGTATTACTTTTAACATTTTCTGTACTGGCTTTAGGAGTATCTTACTAAATTAGGTAATACAGAGTGCCATCCTGAGCAGTTCTTGAGAAAAAGAGCTGAACTGGATAAATTGCTTGTAATTATTCAAAATGAAGACATTGCTCATCTAATTCATAAGGTAAATGAAATGCACTTATTCTTGAATGTTCTATGTAAGGAACAGTGATTGGGGGGGATTTGTGCCAAAACGGAAATGTTCAATTTGGACAAGTTGGTATATATATATGGGCTGAAAATATTGGTCTCTCTCCTCCCCCCCAACCCTAACACCCCCCCATACAAAATGTAATTGTCTAGGACAGAAATGGTTGGGTGAGGGATAAGAGCAGGAAATGGCACATGTGGAGATCATTTTTTTATTTTATGCACATACTCTTTGTTATTTTATATATCCTTAAAAATGTAAGCCATATACTATCAATTCAAGATATTAATATAAATAAGGAATGCTATTGTTACTGAAGTGTCTAATTTTAACTAATTTATTTTATTGTACTAGCATCTCTTTCTATTTGCTTTTTTAAAATAGATACCATGTTTAGTATCTTTGAAGAGACTTTCATGTGTCAGTTTTGCTGGTGTTGAAAGTTTGGATGATGTGAAAAATCGTACTTACAATGACTTGTTTGTTTCTGGTGGCTTCATTGTATCGGATGAATCTGTTCTCAACCCAGAATCTGTCAGTGTTGGTAAGGCTCACATTCACTAAAGCATAGGGTAAACTCTACAAATTATTTATGTTCCTAATAGATCATTAATTTCTAAGGGCTCATATAGTCAAATATGGGTTTATAATTGAGGTTCTATTGTTTTACTTTATGCTAACCCTTTGAGAATTTTGTTATAAAATAATGCTGGGAAATTCTGTTCTTTAGGGCAAAATTCCTTATGTTACTTTAAAAATCTTCACTGGTATAGAAAATACTGTTCAGCAATTACAATTTTTGTAAAACAACTCATGCGGTAGTGCTGTTCAGAAGTAAGAAATAAATGTCCTCAATCTACATACATTTTCCACTTTATGTTTTATTGTTGCTCAGTTGAAAAGCCCCTGATTCCTTGGGCCCATCATTTACTTACTCCTGTGACTTTACAGATAGTCCTCAACCGCCAACCACTATTGGGTCTTGAATTTTGGTCATTAAATGATGTGGTTATTGAGTCATCATGTAACATGGTCCGATTTTATAACCATTTTTACTATAGTCATTAAGTGAATCCCACTTTCCCCATTGACTTTGCTTGTCAGAAACTTCCTGGAAAGGTCACAAATTGCTACCACAGGATGCTGCAACCATCATAAATGCGAGCCGGTTGCTAAGCATCTGAATTGTGATCCTGTGACTGTGAGAGTGATGTGACAATCATAACTTTGAGGGTAGGTCATAAGTCACTTTTTCAGTGCTCTTGTAACTTTAAACAGTCCTTAAATAAATAATCGTAGGTTGAGGACTACCTGTAATTAGCTGCAGTGTCTTGTACTTAAATGTAGATCAGTAATAATTATAGCGGTTACTAGAGACTCACATGCTCAGATCAATCCATCACATACTATACACATTTATATTAATCAAATGTTCTAACGCTGGCAATAGTATGCTGTTATGAAAATTTAGCATAAAAGGTGGATGCAGGGGAACAGGGAAAGAAGAAAACAAATAATGGGGAATGTTACTAATCTTTTTTTTAATACTTTAGTATTTATAGTATCTTCCAGAAAGCGATAAAAGAACCTTAATATAGAAAATTGGAATTTGCCAGTTCAATAAACTGAGTAGCTTTTAAACAGTTGCTATATTCTAATAAAATATGTTTACAGGGGAAATGTAATGTACATAAAACATGTAATAAAATTGTTTGGTTATAATCTTTTAATAGTTATTTCATTTGCTTTTCAATTTTTTTTTGAAAAAATTGTAAAATTAGCTTATTGATACAGTAAATGTCACAACTAAAGTTAACATAATGGGGAGACTCATAAATTTATTTGATTTTTAAAAATTAAGATTAACTTTTCCAAATGAAAGCCATTTTTTCTATCATGATTCTTATTTGAAGTCAGTAATTTTGTCCTGGATTTGTTCTAGCAACATGCTACTAATAAAAGCTGTGCTCAAGCATTGTGCTGTTTGTCTTGTACAAATTTATCTAATTCCTGTTTTAAATAATATAAGCTAGGGTTTATGTTCTGTTTTCAAAATTAGATAAACTTAATGAGTTTCTGAAGTTCCTTGGAGAGTTGAGTACTCCAGATGAAAAGTGGCAATGGAAAATTCACTGTAAAATACAGAAAAAATTAAAGGAGCTTGTAAGGTATGTATTAGCTATGCAAGAATTACTGTATTAAAAAAATATAACTTGAAATTGGTCTGGTAGTAGCTATACCAGTCTTTCTTTATATTTATTAAAGATCTTTTTTGCCTATCATTTTCCAATTATTGTGAGAACATTGCTTTCTATTTTCATTTTTAAAACCTCTTAAGGTAAAAATGCAAAATGTTATTTTTTTGTATACTTAGAAACCATGCTTTCATTTAATAGCCTGCATTTGTTTTATGTCTATGGTCTAATTTTTGCTTTTTCTGTAGAAAATAGTTTGATAATTTTGTCTACAATGCTTAACATTATATAAATGCAGATTATACATTGTTTTTCTTCCAATAGAACAAATAAAAATGCCATGAACTTGCTAGCACTTTTGAGTGCTTATCAAAAGAGAAACATGGTTGAGATTCTGGCTTACCATAGCTGCGATTCTCAAACACGAAGTCCTCCAGAATTAGAGTGTCTCATAAGACTTCAATATCAGAATATTCAGCAAAGGCATGTGGTCTTTTTGACAGGTAGAAAATAATTATGATTTTCATATATATTTATATGTGTCTCCACAAACACGTTATTATATAATGAACATTTTTCCCTCTTTGCTTAGAAAAGAATGTGTCAACCTTTGCAAGTTATGCTGATAATGGAATAGTGGTTACTACTGTCAGTTCCTTTATGCACAACTTCAAAAGTCTAGTTGGCTGCCACAACTCAGTTACAGAAGAAAGCTTGCCTTCTCCCACTGATTATGAAAAACAACCAGGTAATAATATAGTTTAATTTCTCTCACATGTAGCAAGCAAGATTACTTGAAACAAGGAATCTACTGTATATATGCTTCAGTATAAGTAAAGAGTAATATTTCTAAACTGTAGAACACATTGTAAAAATAAGAAAGAGAGATGTAGTGTTGTACATCATCTTAATATGAAATTGGTCTGATAGGGTATTCAAGAAATTCCATGAAATATAAAAGGGTTAGGATAAAGATGGCAGAACTGAAGTGTAGAAAACAAGCAGTGAGTGAGGTGTCAGTAATTGTGATGAGAATTTTCATACAAAATTCTGACCTACTGTATAACTTTAGATGCTGTTTTGACATTAAATCCTTTGGAGCTGGAAGTTGGGATTTCCCAACAGTAAGCATGAACACATTTCGCAGAAGCTTTTAGCATCGGAATATCCGGACATTCACAAGAGGGTTATATGTGTGTTGAGTAAGTGACCAAAATGACAGAAGACCAGCCTTAAATGATATGCGACTTTGAGACCTGAAGCCTAAAACGGTGTGAGTAGTGCATAGTATTTTTAAATAAGCTTTCTATTTCAATAGAGTAGGATTTTTCTCTTCTTAATGTAGTTCTTGTAGAAAACGATGAAAAGGATGAGGAGGACATGTCTCTGGATTCAGGGGATGAAGCATCACAAATAGAAGTTTGCAATGATGCCTCAAACTGTGATTCCCATTTGGAAGATTTTCAGACAGAGACCAAAGGACCACATGGAACAGACTCTAGGCAAAACTCTCAAAGTGATGCACTGCTATCTTCTGAAGAAGAACACTACTCTCTGACAGAAAAGACTTCTAAAATTGACATGCAAGATATACAGCCAGTTACTCCTGTTTCAACTACCTTCTGTCCTGAAGAGGAGAGAACTAATTCAGATGAACAAATTCCTCTCAGCTTTCAGATGTACAATAGACAATTAAGTGTGCCTCATCAATTCAGTCATTTTAACGTTCTCACTCATCAGACGTTTTTGGGAACAACATACCCTATGGCTGCCAGTCAAAAACAGGAAAGTGGAAATTGCTTTCTGACTGCTTACAGTCAGAACATGGATATGGACCATTCTTCATCTTCATCCAATAATTGGGATATCAATTGTGATTCTTTGAGGCCATTTCCCAAACAGAATTGAGCAAAGAAATGTCTTTTTTTTTTTAATATTTCTTGCGAACTTTAGAAAAAAAGTGAATTAAGTATTTCTAGTCTCTGATTCTAAACATTTCTTGTCTCTTATCTCAGATGTTTTCATGTTTATTTAAATCATGAATGGTCTGTATCAGATAAAGCACCTGAAGTTTGAAATAAATATATATATTTTTAACATATATTGTACTTGAATGAACTTGTTTATTGGCACTTCTAAGTTTTACATTTTGTAGTTCACGTGTAATTAAGATTACCAACTTGAAGTCTAACTTATGTAATTTAAATGTTTGCCTGAACCATATGTGAAAGAGGGAAGGGATCATTTTTAATGTAAAGTATAAAAGGACATTCAAACCACTTTTCCTTTATAATAGCTATTATGTACATATGTGAATGTTTTGTATAAAATCTTTCTATAGCTTTAAAGTCAACTCTAGTTACTTCATCAATTATCCTGGATTTTTTATTACATACTTAAGTTAGAGTAAACAGTAGGTGCAGTTTGTTTTGAAATGAATAAAAGAATTTGTCCAGAGAGGACTTAGTAGCAACTTGCATTTTGTTGTGTCATCTGTTTCCATGAAATAGATGCAGCCGAGATAATTATATTATCAATCAAGTTAACTTCTCTTGCCATCAAGTTATGCATTTACTAAAAGTACGTAATACTCTGATTAGTATTCCAAGTTCAGAGCTCTTTTTATCAGCATAGTAATACTAAATCAAGTTATTTCTGATTAAAAAACTTGCAATGTATATGTAGACGAACTGGCTTCATTGACATCAAAGAAGTTAAGAATAGCTCTGTGTGGAATTACTGTCATAATATACTCTTGTATCCCTGAATTTGGAATTTTTTTATTAAAACATTTCATAACAATAAAATGCTGTCATTATATCTTACAGACTTTATGAATATGAACCGTGCTTTGCTGTTAACTGCATATAAAGTCCATCAAGAAATCTACAGCATTCAGTTATCTGTTATAATGTAGAACCAAGCAATTAATGCGTAACCTGGAAGAATTAATTTTGAATTGATCTGCCATAAATGGCACCTAAAGTCAAGTATAATAGAAAATAAAATGGGCTAAAGTATGCTATTTTTGCTATATATTTGATTGGAAAGCAGGAATAGCTGTAGAGAGCATAAAAAATTTAACGCTTTAAGGCAGGAGTTCCCATGTTACCATGATGGGTTTGCTTATTCATGAAATAGTCACAGTGAGGGGACAAGGCAGGAGGCAATTGGTAAGAGTGTACTTATCCTATTCCCAAATCACCTTTTTTTTGGGTTTGGCAAATAACACATACAAGCAAAAAGCCCTGAGTTGCAGCCTTTAACCATTTTCAATTTCTAAAAATGTCTAGTTTGGTTATATACAGTAGTATATTGAGCATTTGAGCTATAAAGGTACAGCTGTAATTAATAATGTTCTGCAGCATGTCAACTATTCTACTTCATTTTACGGTGGGGCAAATAAGTTAGGGGACCCAAGCCTTAAACGGAGGGATAATAACAATAATAATGGTTGAATATATGGTTTTGGATACAAGATGAGGAAGGAAATGGAATTATCTATAAAGCAATGTTGGAAAACGTAGTGGGCAAGCTAAAAAGACTAGCAGTCTGAATTTTAAACAATGGAAAGAATACATTTAAGAAGAATAACAAAAATATATTGGGAATACTTTGGGAATCTAAGCTGTAAAATGTATTTACAGGTATTAAATTGACATTCTAATGAAGGTAGTTACAGAAGATAAAATTGAACATATCTGGAGAATATTTAGGTAATTCTGTGGTAAAAGTCATAAAATAACCAGAGATATCAAAAAGATACATCGATCCTGCTCTTTGAAGACTCTTAAGTATTAGATGAAGCTCTGATCATGTTATAAGTCACAAAACAGTACGATTCTGGATAATTCTGATAGGTTCAAATTTTTTGTCGGATGTAGCCACTTCTAATATGTAAGAATCTTAACCTGAAACATATTTAAACATGATAAACCCAGTGAGATAGTGATTAGATAATTATACTAAAATTAGAAAACTTTAAAAGTATTTTGAGCTTATGGTTTTTATGGTTTATAATTTTTTAGTTATTGGGTTTTATTGTTGTGAGTTGCCGAGAGTTATTTTTAAAATAGATGGCCAAATATTTTAAATAAAATAAACCAGTTCCAATTCATGCTGAATGTGTAACTCACCATCAGCCTCATAAATATGTTAAAAGACTTGGCAGTAAAAGAGAAATTATGCTGCTACTTTGATCTCTTTAGAGGAAGTAAGTTTAACATTAGGCTGTAAATGACTATCAATATATTGATATTGGTAATTGTTAAACATCTGCAATGTCACTTTACCAATTGTATAAAAGGATTTCAACTAGAAATTTAGATCTGAGGATATTCTTGGGCATATTCCCTCCTGAATATTATGATAGTTCCTACCAGAAACATTTAAGTACTTTTATTGATTTTTCTTATCACTCCTTAACCTGATAACAATTGTTTAAATTATGTTTATGCCTTTAATATTATTTTGCAGAAACGTTGGCATCGTTTCCCCTCTTTTTAGCCTCTATTATAAATCTATGCTAAGATAAATATATATGTGGATGCTAGGAGTCAACACTGATGACATGTGATCAATCAAAGATGGGCTAGTTAAAATCTGGTTTTTAAAGAAGGAATGTATACATGCAATAGTGCTGTGAAAGTATGCTGAAATACCAGTAGCTTCTGAATACCAGATATTTTTTCTCCGTTGGCTATAGTTAAAATGAAGTATTCCGTATTAAAACTTTTGTTTACAGATTTTGAACTCTGTCCAAATGACTGATTTTTAAATTTGTATTTAGCATTTGAGTTTCAGTATCTGAGTTACCTGGATATAATTCCTGAAAATGCAGGTTTGTAAAGTAAACTAAAAGACTAGTTCTACAGAATTTGTTTTATTCCTAGCGTTTTCACGCAAGTGGAGGAGGATCCACTCTTTTTTAGATCAACTTAGTGTTGATCCATTTTATTGTGATAGGAATTGATCAAGAGGCTTGTTGTCCAAACCTGACTAGACCAAACTGGCTTTCTGAAAATAAAATCCTTGAATGCAAGCTGCAAGCCATCTGAAGAAAATCTTATGGAAAAATCTTATTGTTTCTCAATTTCTGAATCAAGAGTGGGTTTATTTTATTTTAGTCGTTTTTAGATCAAATTTAGAAACAACTGCAAGGTAGTCCTTAGACATTGGCAACATACAGGCAATTTCTGAGTTAAGAATGTCCAACTTATTAAAAATGGCAAATGGTATTCTTCAAGCCAACAAGGTGCTGAATCTGCATGTTTTTGATATACAGCTTGTTTTCAGTGGTTTCTGAAAGCATTGCTCAGTTTGAAGGACAATGCTGTCCTCCATTAATAGGCAATACAAGTTCCAACTTAAATAGAAATTTGAGTTAGAGACAGATTTAGGGAATGGAACTTATTCATAATCCAGGAACTGCTTGTACTTTGTTATGTCTATTATGTGGACTCAATATGTCTTAAAGTGCTCAATCCCTTGTTTCATATTGGGATGGTTTTGAGGTTTGTTTTTGTTGTGTGTGTGATGGAAGGTGGAAGGTTTAGTCCTGCCCCTCTAGTGACTTTCAAGGGTTGTGAAAGATTGATGCTGGTAAGATGAAAGCAAGGTTAGTTTTTTTCTTCCAAATAAGAGGCTGCTGTCAGAGGAAGTCTGACATGTATCTTGAAAGATTGCAGAATTGAGCGTTTTAAGTTTTCATGTATGTGATACTTGCTCTAAATGTAATTGGTGTATCAGTCATTTTAATGTTTGATTCAGATTAAATGCTAAGCCATGATTTTAATTGGGAATTAATGTTTAAGAGAAGGAATTAATGGAAACAACTTGCCATAAATTCTATTCTAAAGTAAATATTCATTGCAAAAAGTAGAGATAAAATACACATCAGTTTTATTTAGGCAAAAAAGTATTAATTGGTTGAACACTATTGTATTGTTATATTCTTCTTAAATTATTTGCATTTACCATGTTTCCCCGAAATTAAGTCCTATCCCGAAAATAAGCACTGGCTTGATACTTATGTGTGCGCCTAATATAAGCCCTATCCTCCAAAATAAGCCCTAGTTAAGACCCCGGTGCTCACTCAGTCCTACTGTCTGGTTGTACGAGGTGGGGTGAGACACAAGTGTAAAAATTAAGCTGGGGTTGGGGGTGGAGCTGCCCCACGTGCCAAGCACCCGCTTATCTCAGCACCGCCGCAGCCAGGCCTCCCACGCCCTGACACTTGTGCTGCCGCCTGACTTCTGCGGCCTCTTGCAGCAGGATGCCACATGGCATATCACACTGGTGCCACTGCTCGTGGCAGGAAGCGGCATGTGCTGATACTGCTGCTTGTGGCAGGATATCACATGGTGCGTTGTGCTGGTTCTACTTGCATGCAATGCAACGTGGTGTGCCACACGGCCTGCCGCAAATGGCACCAACGCGATGCGCCACACAGCCTGCTGTGAGCGGTGGCACCGGCACAACGCACCATGCGACCTGCCCCGAGTGGCCGCAAAAGTCTGGTAGCAGTGTGACATGTCAGGGCGTGGGAGGCCTAGCTGCGGTGGTGCTGAGGTAAATGGTAAAACATCCCCCGAAAATAAGAACTAGTGCCTCTTTTGGAGGCAAAAAAAAAAATGTAAGACCTGGTCATTTTTGGGGAAAAACGGTAGAAATAATTAAAAGTCTCTCTATATAATCCTATAAGAATCTGTTTTTTCAGATCAAGATGGAAGATTCCAAAAATTAATATGTATAATTCTGAAATAATTTTGGGGACAGTTAGCTATAATTGTATTCCGTTTCAACAGTTTAACCATAAAGGAGATTAATGTTTCAGCTATGTACTATATTCACTCATTGATGCATTGTGCTTATGCAGTGGGTTATGTCAGAGCATGCACAATCTTATTGAACGAGATAAGCAAACACAGTAAAAACAAACATAGTAAAAAGTGGTTTGTATTAAATGGTGGTTTATCTTACATTATCTACAATATCATACACCAGGAACAAAATACATACACGTGCTAATACAGCAGGATCCAACAAACCACGATTATAGCAGGAAACAGAAGAGAAAGAACACCTCAGTGGAACCTTCCCTTTTATACAAAGGCTCTTAAAGAGACACAGACCCTGCTGAGTCATTCCCATAATTACATCTTACATTACACAACCTAGTTAGCTTTTAAATAGTTACCTTGACACTCCTCCCATTTAAAGCTAAACAGCTGTTAACCCAAATACTTTTACATACTTTTGATGCTTGCCTGACGTCAATACCTGGGAAGATTCTGGAAAAGATAAACAACGAATCAGCGAGCATCTAGAGGCAAACAAAGTCATTACTAAAAGCCAACATGGGTTTGACAAAACATCATGCCAGACAAATCTTATTGCATTCTTTGACCAAGTGACAAAATTAGCGGACCAGAGGAATGCTGTGGATATAATTTACTTGGACTTCAGTAAGGCATTTGATAAAGTAGATCACAACCTACTACTTGATAAGATAGAAAAATGTAGGTTAGACAGCATCACCACCAAATGGATTCATAGCTGGCTGACCGGCCGTACTCAGCGTGGTCCTCAATGGAACCCCATCTACATGGAAGTGTGTAGTGGGGTGCCCCAGGGCTCTGTTCTAGGCCCAGTGCTCTTCAACATCTTCATCAATGATTTGGACAAGGGGATAGGTGGGGAACTCATCAAATTTGCAGACGACACCAAGCTGGCAGAAATAGCCAACACTCCAGAAGATAGACTTAAGATACAGGATGATCTGGACAGACTTGAACAGTGGGCGCTATCTAACAAAATGAAA